AGTTAATATTACTGATTCTTGTCTATCTTGGTTTTCTTCTTATCTCTGTAATCGTTTTTCTTCTGTTGTTCTCAATAATTCTACTTCTAACTCCTCTACTCTTACTTTCGGGGTACCTCAGGGTTCTATCCTTGGCCCTCTTCTATTTAGACTCTATACTTCTGAACTACCTCGTATTATTAATAAATTTTCTTTCTCTAGTCAACTTTAAGCTGATGATTCTTACATTTATACTTCTTTTCCTCCATCTAATCTCAATAGTGTTCTTCATAATTTATCTCTTTTACTTTCATCTACGTAGAATAAAAAAACTTGTGCCTTTCCTTGATGATCCTACTCTTCTCCTTCTTGTTACTTCGTTAGTCTTATCTAGGATTAATTATTGTAACTCGCTCTACTATGGTCTTCCTGACTCTATCCTTTAAGTAAAGCTTTTAACTCTGCTGCTTGTCTAGTTGCTCGTGCCCCTTTCTTTTCTCATATATCTCCATATCTTGTTCTCTTGCACTGGCTACCTATAAAATATAGAATAATTTTTAAAATTTGCACGTTCATGTATAAGTCTCAAACTAAATTATTTCCTAAGTATTTATCAGATATATTAATTGAACCTAAACGCCCCGGTTTACGATCGTCTTCTTCTCGCTTTTTCTTAACTCGTGTTGAACACTCACTTGCGAAGTTCAGAGCGGATCTCAATGTTAAATTTCTTGTTACGTAGATCGTTTAATTAATTGATATACTATTGAAAGACATTAAAAGAAGAGAAATAAACTAAGCAACGTTCTCGACTTGTTTATTATCCACCGGATCAACAGAAAAGGAAAAGTGAAGTTACATACAAAGCAAAGAACATTTGGTCCAAAGAAAAATAAATGTATATTATAAATCATAATGTTTTAATATAAAAACATAAAACTTAACACCTTCTCATTTTATTTAAAACATTAGATGACCTTAACCTAAATGTTCTGAAGACCCATCGCACACATCAGATTCTTTAGTCTTGGTCCTACCATTGGTTTTGTCAGAGCATCAGCAACTTGAAGTTCTGTCGCAACTCGTTCAACTGAAACTTCTTCTTCTGCAACCTTTTCTCTGACAAAGAAATGTCTAATGTGGATGTAATTTGTTCTTCTGTGAAGTTCTGGATTGTGTGCTAAACGAATTGCTGCTTCATTGTCGACAAAAATTTCTGGCTTATTCTTTAGATCTACAATGTCGTTCAACAATCGTTTGAGCCATATCACTTCACGAGCTGCTTCACTTGCGGCAACGATTTTTGCTTCAGTAGTTGAAATCGTAACTGAGGGTTGACGTTGGCTAAACCAACTGATCACGCTTCCTCCAAACATACAGATTACACCTGATGTCGATCTTCCACTAGATTTATCTCCTCATGATCTGCATCACTGTAGGCTATAAGTGTATTGTTTTGACCAAACTTGTAAACAATACCGACATCACTGTAGGCTATAAGTGACCAGACCAGACTTGTAAACAATACCGACATCAGCTGTGCCTTGCAAATATCTGAAAATTTGCTTAACTTGTGCTATATTGGACTTGCTGGGTTTCTCTAAACTTCTGGACGCTACTCCAACTGCATATGCAATATCTGGTTTTGTTCCCGTCATCATCAATGCACCAACTGCTGATCTTTAAGGAAATTTCACTTCCTCATGTTCATTTTTGTTTTCATCAAACTCCTCAGATTTTGAAATCGGAGTTGTACAGGATTTACACAGACTCATCCCAAACTTTTCAAGAATCATTCTTGTATAGGATGACTGACTGACATTAATATTTCCCTTCTCATCTTGATTAATCTCTAATCCAAGGAAATATGTTGCAGGTTTAGATGTTATCTTGAACTCTGACTTTAATTCTTTTTCAAATATTTTTAGTTCTTCTTTATCGGTTCTTGCAACTAGTCCATCATCAACATACAGTGCAAGTATGAGTTTCTTTCCTCCCTGTATTCTAATGAACAAACAAGTATCTGCATCGCTTTGTTTGAAATGTCTCTTTTTCAAGAATTCAGCAAAGCGTTTGTTCCAACATCTTGGAGCTTGTTTAAGTCCATAGAGACTTCGCTTGAGTTTATAGACTCTTCCTGAATTATCTTTAAAACCTTCAGGTTGCTCCATGTAAATATCTTCATCTAGTTTGCTGTAAAGAAATGCTGTTGACACATCAAACTGCATGAGTGACATCTTTTCATTTGCAGCAACACTTAATAGTGTTCTTATAGTTGAACTTCTGACCACAGGACTATAGGTTTTTTCATAGTCAATTTCCTTTTTCTGAGAAAAACCTTTTACCACTAGCCTGGCTTTAAAACGTTCAACAGAACCATCTGGATTGTGTTTTACCTTGTAGACCCATTTGCATGGTATTGCCTTATGACCTTTTGGAAGACTTACCAAATCCCACGTTTGATTTTCTTTTAATGAGTGCATTTCACTGTTCATGGCTTTAAACCAATCATCTTTTTCATCGCTTTGAATGGCATCTTTGTAGCTCTCTGGTTCAAGTACTTCACATAATGCAGACATAACGAAAGGATCATAACGAGATGGCTTTTTGATATTATTCCTGTCACGTAAAACCATACCTTTGGTCTTTTGATTACAACAGTCAGATTGATCTTCTTCATCAGATGAAACTGAACTACGGTTGTGAACATCTTCATCAGTTGAAATATTTTCTTTAATCAAAGTTTCTTTATTTTCATCTTTGATTTCAACATCAATCGAAACTGTATCATCTGAACAACTTTCTTCTTGCAAAATCACTGAATTTGGTTTGACAACCTTCTCATCAAAAATAACATCTCTTGATCGATGCATTTTAACACATTTCTTATTCTGTTGTCCCATTCTTTCATGGTATAACTGCAATGCATCTTGATCATTGACAAAGTTAACTTCGACTTCAGAATTCAACGGTCTAACAGTTTTTGCAACAAGTTTGAACAAACCTCCATTGTTGTTTCTTATTCCAACAACATTTATCACATTGTCAATAAGTAGATGACAACTTCTTGAGGTTGAAACAAAAGAGCTATTTATGTTCTTACCTTGAGTTGCAAGTACTAAGAACAAATTTCTTTTTACTTTTGGCACATACAAGACATCTGTAAGTTTAACAGTTTGCCATTTATTATTCACTTTCACTTGAAGATGAATAATTCCTTTTTCAAAAACTTCTACAGTATCACCATTTGCAACATATAATTTACTCGGTTGAGAAAATTTTTCAAAACTTTGAAATATGTCTCTTCGGAAAGTTAGATGACACGTTGCACCATTGTCAAAAAACCATTCATCAGTGTACGCTGACTCATCAATTGCAAAAACACTTGATTCCATAACAACTAGTGATTTCTTATTGTCATCGCGTATATTGTTATTTCTTGGTTTTGCTGGAGCATTTTTGGAATTTTTAGAAGGTTTTCCATCACTGACCCACTTTCTACATTGCTTAACCCAGTGTCCAGGTTTATGGCAATAGTTGCAGTTACCAACTGGTTTTGTCCTTCTAGTGAAATCTCTTGATTTGTTGAAACTTGGCTTTTCAACATTTACAACTAAGACGTTCTGCCTTGATGATTTATCGATTGTGTCGAAAGTCTTTATCTCTCTTTCGAAAGCACAGAAATGAGTGATTAAATCATCTATCGACTGCTTTTCTTCACCTAGCATTAACCAACTTGATTTGAAGTTTTGGAAACTATTTGGGAGAATCTGCATCGATTTGCATACTAATAGCAGCTCTGGTAGTTTATTTTCTCCCGATGACTGAAGCCCACTGTTTAATTCGTTCCATAAAGTCTTCAATCTTGCAATTTGGCCGGATACATCCGCTATCCAATTGAAATCGAAAAAATTCCTACAAACTTGGAACAGTTGGTCCTTAGTTGACGCTTCAAAATTTCTTTTTAATTCCTCCCAAACTTCAAACGCTGTGTTCTTGTCCATTATCTTTTGGTATGTATCTTCTGTGACTGCATTCGCAATTACTGATTTGACATAACTGTTTGCCTTTCTAAACAGATCTGATTTAATTTTAAAATCTTTTGTCTGTTGCTCTGTTTGGTTTCCTAGTAATTCTGGTTTCGACAACTTCCCATCAATCACATCAAGTGCGCCCTCATGGTAGTCCATGAAATCTCGAACACGACGTTTCCAAATGGCTGTGCAACTTAACTGTTTTATTTGAAGCTTTGAATCCATTTCTTCCTTGTCTTTCAATTGGACCTTTTAATTAGAAGCAAAATATCGAATTTCAGAGAATGAAGAAGCACGTGTTTTTTCTTCACTTCAGTCTTCACAAAGGAATCTTCCGATATTTTTTTATTCTAAATTTTTTTCGTCAAATCAATTAATTAAGAAAAACGTTATCTGGGTCCCATAACCTGTTAAATTTCTTGTTACGTAGATCGTTTAATTAATTTATATACTATTGAAAGACATTAAAAGAAGAGAAATAAACTAAGCAACGTTCTCGACTTGTTTATTATCCACCGGATCAACAGAAAATGAAAAGTGAAGTTACATACAAAGCAAAGAGCATTTGGTCCAAAGAAAAATAAATGTATATTATAAATCATAATGTTTTAATATAAAAACATAAAACTTAACACTCAAGACCCATCTGTTTTCAAAATTCATTGAGGAGCGCTGTTGAACATCGCGGAAATAGCGTTTTATAAGCTAATTGATTGATTGATTGATTGAAATAGAATTGAGTTTCTATAACTGTTAACTATCGGTGTTGATTTAAAAAAAATGCATTGTGTATGTTTTTCTACAAAAACAGCAGAATAAAAATTATTATTTAATGTTTACACCACACAAAATTTAATTTACTAATAAATAATAGAAATTAATAGGGTTATCAAAAACACACAACTAAAGTATTATACATTTTTATAGCACCAATATACAACTATATAATTATATATACATACATGTCATTCTCTGTCAACTTGAACCATGGTCCACGCCCGACGATCTCCGATTTTTTTTAAATTTGAACAGTAAGTACCTCAATGTATTTCATCGACAAAATAAAATTTTTATAAAAAAATTTCAATTATTTTTCAAGTTATGAAGATTTTTGTGACAGCATCCTCAAATTTTTGAGCGATTTTTTTCAAAACTTGTACCTACGTAGAACGCTATATCTCTTGAACTAGCCAACATATCTTGATGAAATTTTTTGTGCATATCAGCGAAACAATGTAATAACAAAAAAAATAAATGTTATTGTCTCGAATCAAAGGATATTTTGAACAAAAAATCTAGAAAAAAATGAATTTTTTGAAAATTTCACCGATTTCAAAACAGCGTAGCTCAAAATCTATCGCAAAATAAATAAATATTTTTTGTTATTTTAAAAGTACCTTATAGTCACAAATAAATCACAAAATTTCGTTAAAATCTGTCCTGAATTTTTTGAGCTATCGGAGCTCAAAATGTCAAAAAAATGAAAAATTTCTTTTGTTTGGCACCATTTTTAACTATGAAGAACCAAACGTTTTTTAATTTTTAAAATTTGTTTATATAGTGCTTTTATAGCTTAACAACACATCAAAAAATAAAATTGGCGTTTGCTTTCTTTGAAAAATAAAACAACTTCAAAAACAGGCAAAACAAATTTTTTTCAAGTGTCAATATTTTTTATTTTTTTCAATTTAAAATTTAAAATTTAGAATGTATGTTACACAGATGTGAGAAATGCCCAGGAAAACTGAGTGTCGAAAATAACTTAAGAGCGATTTTCGAAGAAGCTGTAATTTCCCATGATGATAATCGCAGTTCATTGATTTCCGTACAGGATACAGTTGACAGTTTCATTGAAAGATTTTCGCAAAAACTTGACGAGTTGTCATCGCATCATTACATAAGCAAAGAACAATTGAAATATCTTAGCGATTCTAAAAAAATTTAAAAAGTTCGGAGTGTATTGCTTTAATGGATTTTGCTGAAAATTATTTGGTGATAATACAGGATGCAATCCAGAGTCAACATTGGAGCAACACGCAAGTTACTCTTCACCCAATTGTTCTTTATTACAGAAAACTTATTTATTTATTTATGAAAACTTATCTGTCAAAAGCGTTTGCATGATTAGCGACTGTCTCGATCACAATGTTTCCGCTGTTTATGCTTTTCAAAAACATTTAATTAACTATGTAAAACAAAACCTGAAAAACGTTACTTTAATTAAATATTTTTCTGATGGCGCGGTAAGTCAATACAAAAATTTTTCTAATTTAATTCATCACAAAGAGGATTTTGGATTAAAAGCAGAATGGCACTTTTTTGCAACTTTTCATGGTAAAAGTCCTTGCGATGGAATTGGAGGGACAACAAAAAGATTGGTTGCAAGAGCAAGTTTGCAGGCATCAACAAAAGATCAGATATTGAACGCCAGAGATTTTTACACATACGCTGATGCGAAAATAAATGGTATTAAATTTTTTTGTGTAGACAAAAAAGAAATTAAAGATCTGCTAGGAATGCTGGAAAAAGATTTAGGTCAGCAGATAAAATAAAGGGTTGTCGAAGTCATCACTCATTTATTCCAGACAAAAATGATCAACTTTTGATGAAACGTTTGTCTTCAGATTTATTTGGATACAATTTTAATAAAAATGAAAGTGAAGACACCAATGATGATTATGAGCCGGGTCGATTTGTAGCTTTGGTCTATAATAAGAAATGGTATTTAGGAAACATTATAGAAAGAGATGATAAAAATGATGATTTAAAAGTTAACTGTCTGAAGAAATTTAAAGAAAATATTTTTTATTGGCCTAAAAATGTAGATATTTGCTATGTACCATTTAAACATAATTTGATTCTTATACCTGATGATAACATTTCTTATGTTGGAAAAATTCACATAACTCTTCCTGAAACTGTTTTTAAACACATTAGCACGTTGTATA